ATGTTTTATTCATCATAATTATAATCGTCAAATAGAATACCTGAATACTCTGTATACTTTTTAGTATTTTACAAGTATATTAAATATTAATCTAACGATAAGTCATTGCATTTGAAAAATCTTAAATGAGTAACCTAGCAGGAAATATAATTCAGCAATGCTCAAAACCATTAAACATTTATCGATTGTTTTAATAGATTAATCGATATGTCTTTGACTATTTCAACAATCGAGCACTCTAGCACTTCTTGATAAAAAACTTCGATTAATCAAAATTTTCGATTATTTAGTATTTTTGACAATCGAGTGTGTATTATGACAATCGAACAGCCCTACTTATACCTTCATAAATTATTGGTGAAGGTTGTCAAGAAATTAAATTAAAGTAGGTAGGCACCTAATAACATTTTTGAGATTTTTAGATTATTGGAGATTAATATATAATTATTCATAGTTTACGATGAAGTGTCTCAAACGCTTTTATCAGTTATTAATTTATGTTTTAGATCCTAGGTTCAACTAACATTTTTAATATTCATTAACATAGTTTTACCTTATAAATTTACTTGACAACTTAAATAGTGTCAGTAAAAATTATCTAATTAAAATATATTATAAATTAATGACCTACCTACATAGGGATGTAACCTCTTTAAATTGTACAATATTGCTTTGCCTAGTTATTTTGCTTAGATTATTACAATATGTATGTGTGGACATAGTTTACTGTTAAGGGTCAATAGGTATCTATTAAAATAGTTTTTAGAACTATGCATGGATATAATACTACAGGCAGAGCCTGATTACATGAGACACATATATGACATTATCATTTACTTCCTAGTTCATATAACTATATCAAGTATTCCTATTCTCATACAAAAGAAATATATTTTATATTTGGATAATTAGATAAACATGGATTTCGTATTTAATTGACTACCGTGTTACTATATTTAAATAATTTAAAATAAATTATCATACATATTATACCTAAATCTTAACCAGTTTAAAATTTTAAAAATAGAAATTATATATCAAATTTATGTGTAAACTAAAATTTTAAGTACACTAATTGATACTTTTTATGTTAATCTCTTCTATATTATCATAAATTATCAAAGAAATTATATTGTAACTTTTTGTGTCTTTCGTTTAATAAAATATCTGTATTTTACTGTTTATTTATTATGATAAATATTGGATTTATTTGCTGCCGAATGTTATGGTGGGCAAATAACATTTGTCTTATTTAACCTTGTTATAGCTACTATAACTACTTTTTATTTTATAAATTTATAAATTTATGAAAAAATTCAAAGGTATTTAAGTTTTATAAATTTTGTTGTAATGTAAAATATTGACCTATTCATTTCAAGTTGTATGCTTTGTAATTAATGAAAATTTCAAAACTTTTAAATAGTTAATAGATGTATTGAATTAAAATTATCTAAGCATTATTAATCTTTTTCATTTTTTAGTGATATCATTATAGAAATATTAATAGAATTAACCAAAAAGCTTTCATGGATCACAGGAGTTAATAAAAAAAATGTTAAAAGAAATATTTGTTTAAAATTAAGGAGGTAGCGCTTTTATTTTGAAATATTTAAGTATTTACTCCGACGTCAACTTAGCTAAAGTAACATTATAATTTATAATTAACGATTTTATGTACCTAAGACCGTTTAGCGTTTTATTAAAGTGGTGACTGTGGTCTGTGGAGGCTTTCCCAAAATCCCATACATTGCATGGCCATAAAAAGGCATTGACCTTGTTAATGTTATCTGTTCAAGTAGGTAGATTTAATTCCTAGGAAAAATATCCATCCATGTACCGTTCAAGTCATACATGTCCCGACTATTTCCGTTACTAGTTTACAACAGTTTTCCGTCGTTTAAATTTTCTCTTATTATGCCATCATCGTTATTCCTTGTTTCTACATGTATGTAATTTTGTGCCACGTTTTGGATGTAATTACTGGATGGAGGGATAGGTAGATGGATTTGGAAATTTAGGTAGCTATTTTTTGTAATCTAAATCGTAAGATTTTAGTATATATTATTATATGCCCCCTTCGGAAACCCAACCATGGGGTGCGATGTGTTGTATGTTCACAAGAATGATGGGCGGCGGACACTTATTTCCGATTCCGATCGCGCGCGCTCGGCCTGACGTCGCCGCCGCTACCAATTTACGCGTTATAATAATAATATATATAGCCGCTGCCGGTCGTCCGGTTTGCCGTGTGTGTGTGATGGCGGTGGACGTTAAATCCATGACGAAAACAAAACCGCTGTTGCCATATCTCATCTGCAAGCCATCCGGCGTGCTCGTTCTTTCTCCGCTCGCCTTGCGCCTGTCACGTTCGAGCGGTGGTGCAGCGGCGGCAATCCCGGGGGCCGACGTCCACGCGCGCGCACATACAACACCACACACACACACGCTTGCGCGCGCGCGCACATACCTATCGATCGAACCTTGTGCTCTCTCACATACGTCCAGCAATACGCATGCGCCTCTCCACAGCTCGCGTATTTTTATATTACACACGCACGCGCACTATAATTGTATCGAACGTCCGTGTATGTACACTGTAAATCATTTCGATATAATGTGTTATAACTTATAATATTATGTTATTATTACCTCTAAATAATAATATATTATACATCGATACACAAAATATAATATGTACACACTATTGCTGTGCACACTGCACAGAGACGTTCCCATAATTCCCGTATCATATTTCTTTCAAATCCAGCTATCAGCTCCCGGATCCCCACTCGACCACCCCTTTGCTTAAAAATTGCGTCTTGCGTCACCGAAAACTGAACGTTTCGTATCGGTAGGAAACTATTATGTTACGTAATTTATGTAAAAATCGGCGATAATAGCGACAACCGTCGCCAGTGACGTCGTCGCGCTCACCGCAGTGACCATAACCGGAATATCGTCGACTGGGGCCAGCTAGATGACGTACAATAATATGTGTGTTGTCCTGATGTAATAAAAGTAATAGAATATAATATAATATAATATTGCCGTACAGCAGCCCACATGTGTCGTAATAGACGTCGAAATTCGATAACGCCCCGCGAGCACGCTTTTACCAAGATGCATCGCGCCAAAATTATTCAAACGCAAATCAGTGCCTTCGCGCTCACAATCGATAGCGGCGCGTGGTGTAAGCGCGCGATTGTGCCGCTGTGCGCATTATGTGGTGGGGGTAGGACGCAGCGTCCGCCGCTCGCTCGACCCCCGTTTCACTGACACCGTCATCACACCGCTCCACCGTAGTCACCCTTCTATAGCTCACTCCGTCTCGTGTTTTTCAATCTCGTCCGGCTGTGGAACACGCGCCCGCGCGCGCGCGTACTTGCTACTCACAGATACATACGAGCACACACACGAACACGCTCGCACGTACGTACATATTATACGCAGTTGCTCCGTACTAATAATTTTTTAACACACGTATTGTGTTATATATGTATATATATATAAATAAAGAAAATTTTACCGAGAACCAATTTTTTTTTCTCGACTCGCGTACCGCCCTCTTCCGTCGTCGCATACCGGCAGTGTTAACAGTGACCGCGTACAACAGTCGTCGTCCGTCTCCTTAGCCGTAGCGCAAAATTTCCATCACATCGGCCGTGTCCACGTCCATTATAGGTGAGTTGTACGGTATACGACAGCGGTTCCGCCGTGGTCGTCAGCGCACGGGGGCCGGCTGGCCAGCCGGTGTGCGATCTATAATCTATTTTTATCGCGGGCGCATTCCCCAGCTAGCTGGGATTAGGCGGAGGAGCCTAACCGTCTGTCCGAGACGACGCGTAGTTCATTTGAATCTTTCACCATTTTTTATCGCTCTCAAAAGTCCGTCGCCGCATGGTTTTTACCCGAACACACCTTTTGCGGGGTGGCGGTGGTTGCGGTGTTGTTACGCGGGTGGGTGGGGGACAATGCGGCAGACGCATTCCACGACTGTGTGTCACTTACGCGCTCGTACATACGTCGCCGCTTACATTTTTTGACTGGTAGGTAACCAGGTGGAATCCGTGTTGCGCGCGGGTAAATCGTCTCAACAAACAATGCCCGTCCGCACCGTGAGCGGCGGCGCGCCTTGTTAGGCGGCGCTGTTACTTCGTAGATGGAATAATTGATCGGACGCTAATTCGGCCCCGGCCACAATTTCCGTGCACGGCTAGTAGGGAACGGTTTCGATGTTTCTCCATTCCTATGGGTTTCCAAATATAGAGATTTGTTATTTTACAGCGGCTGACCAACACAGACCCGTTAATTATGACGGTTAAAGAAATAAAATGTCGATTAGAAATATCCGGTTACCGCCCCGATTTGCTGCGACGCGTTTTTTAAAATCTATATATAAAAGTATAAAACCGAAGCCAAACGTAATACTATGTTTACAAACGGAGGTATCACAGTTTTACGTGTTCATGTCGCGAATTGTGAACTCATCTGATCGTTGTTTCAAAATTTGAGTTTATCGCCAAATTTAAGCTTTGAAATCCACATTCCACCTTATCAGTATAGGTTATTATAAACCGTAAGCAGAAATCCTTGTGAGATTATTTCGTTACCTATTATTTATCCAAATAGTTAACCTTAATGTCAATTTAATAATTATCTGAATGTAAACTTGTGAAAAACAAACATTCATTGTTTAAGGACTGTTTTATTAAACAAATATTATATATTTATTAAATATTATCACCTAATCTATTGAGATATAATGTTGTGACTTCAATCATTACTATATCTGTCTTACCTACTAAAAAAATTTTATAATAGTCAACGGTAATTTTCACTTGATATTCATTCAATGTTTACAAAATAATATAAAATATACAATATTATAAATTAATTAACCAAGTTCTATTAGTTTTAGATAAATTAAGTATTTATACATTTTAAATATTGTTTATTGTTTGTAAAGGTTAAATTAGTCTGTTGGTCAAGTTAAATATCAAATGTCTGGAGATAAAGAGGACTCGGTTCAGAGAGCCAAGCTGGCCGAGCAGGCCGAACGGTACGACGACATGGCTAGCTCAATGAAATCTGTTACCGAAACTGGCGTGGAACTATCTAATGAAGAGCGCAATCTGCTTTCGGTAGCCTACAAAAATGTTGTAGGGGCTCGGCGGTCATCGTGGCGAGTAATCTCTTCAATCGAGCAAAAAACAGAAGGTTCTGAGAAGAAACAACAAATGGCAAGAGAGTATCGAGAGAAGGTTGAAAAGGAACTTAGGGACATCTGCTACGACGTATTGGTATGTATTATATTATATCATCACTCTGTATTATTATTATGTATGTTTTGAAAACAAAAAAGTAATTATAATTAACTTGATTTTTATGCATTTATAAATTATTCATTAAATTAATGCTGTGATTTATTGTAATCTGATTGATCTAAATTGTATTCTTAAAGTAGATTTTAATTTGCATAATGTCTACTTTACTAAATGTGGGAATTTTCTATTTTATCTACATAAGCAATGGCTCAATTTAAAAAAAGTTATAAGGTAAATGTAAAAATATAAAAAAAATTGCTTACTTGAATTTCTTATAGGTTAGAAAAAAAAATAGAAAAAGAACAGTAAAATATTTATAAAGAAGAAAGGGTGCTTCATTCCACCAAAATTCAAACGCTATATAAGTCATACAAAAGTGAATTGAAAAAATGGGAATTTTTAATTTTATTATTCATATTTAATTAATTGATGTGCTAGGAAATGGAAGTAGAACTCTTCAATTCTTATTTTGAGTTTGATAGATAGCAAATCCAGCTTACAATTCCCTTAAATTATATATTATACAAATAAATATATGTTGTAATTATTTTGACATATAAACCATTTTAAATTTACATTTTTGATAGATGGATTTGATAGATAGTTAAATTCATTGTACTCATATTACAAATATTAATTATTATTGGTTTTTTTATTTGTCTTGCAGAACCTTTTGGATAAATACCTAATCCCCAAAGCAAGTAATGCTGAAAGCAAAGTCTTCTACCTTAAAATGAAGGGTGATTATTATAGGTACCTGGCTGAAGTAGCTACTGGAGAAACTAGAAATGGTAAGTTTATTATTCTATGTAATAGTTGTTACTTTCAACTTGAACTTTTAATTTTAAATTTAAATTGATTCCAAACGTTTGAGTTTCAAATAATTACTTAGGATTAAAAAAAAAATCCATTGTTAGTATACTATTATATTTTACATATTTACTGTATATAATGCATTACATTATTTTTTAAGATTGTGAAATGATATTTTATTGCAGAATTTTAATACGTTTATTTTTCTGCCACTAATAACTAGCATTTTAAAGTTAGGTTTACTGATTCGTAATTGAAATAACTAATTTTATTAGTGTTAATAAATTCAGTATTTTAAATTATATTTCTAAGATTAGAGTAAGTAAATAGTTTAACATTGGTAACTATCACACACTGCTTTTAAAAATATTCTCTTGTATGATGTCATTAATGAAGAATGTTAAAAACAAACACAATATGTATTTTGTACATACCTAACAAACCAAATTTTTGTAACACATTACAAACCTAATTAGTAATTTCACTGATCCATATTAATTTAACTATTAGTTACCTTATGTAATACCATGTGTCCATGTGTAACTCTTAATAATTATAGTTAATATTAATTTAAAAATGTCCATGTTTGGAGAAACTGAACAAGAAAATAATACATTTCTTTAATCAGTGCCATATTTTGTGGCTACATTCTGAAACATTTTATGTGTATGTTTTTAAAAGATTTGATTTGGTGTATTATTTGCATTTGTTTCATAGTGTTTTAAGGCTTGCTAACAGTTTGGTTGTAAAATCATATGATGTTTTTATTATAACTTTCGTTCTTCTGATTTGGTATGAGGAACATTTTTTTATAGCTGATGATACAAACTAACAACTGATTATAATATATAAAATTATGCTGAATACTTAACATATTGAAACTGTATTGATTTTGAATTAATTTTATAAATGTATTATATAAACCTTCATTTTTATTAAAATTGAATTTGAACTTTGTAATTGAAATTTAATCAAGTTACATTATCTATTTTGCACCATTAATCATTATATTTGATCAAATGATGTTTTTTAATATAACTTTCGTTCTACTGACTTATAAGTGAAGAGCATTTTTTTTATAACTGATGATGTAATCTATTATTAAATTATTAGTATATTTTGAAACTATTGACATTTGAAAATTAACTTTAAAATAAAACTACATTTTAATTAATATTTAATTTATGTTAAAATTTGAAAATTAGTACTTCATTAAATATTCAAATGATGTATGATTAATATAACTTTCGTTCTTCTGATTTTGAGTGAAGACAATTTTTTACACCTGATGATAAAAGCTACATTTGAAATGTAAAATACTTTTAGTTATATTGTTATATATTGTTTTAAACTTTATCGAATATTGAAATTTAATTTGAATTAATTAGCACCCTTCAGTGTATATAATTTTTAATCAAATGATGTTTTATTAATATAACTTTCGTTCTTCTGAGATTGTGTGAGGAGAATGATATCCTTAAACTGATGATAAATTTATTTTACACTAATGTAAGTTGAGGTTATATTTTCATATTTACTTTCTGTCCTTGTCCCTTGAAATATTAATATGCAGTCTTAAAATTATTTATTATTTTTATTAAAATATTTTCAATTAATCTTGACATAATAAATTGAAGAATTGTATGAACCATTTTATTTTCACACATTGATTTTAATATTGTACTTTTTAGTACAATGTACTTTTTAGTAAATTATATTAAAATAGTTAAATTTTGTTCTTCTGAAGTTATATTAATTTACTGATTAAAAAAATTAGATACAGAGTTTTAACTATAAAATAAATGACGTATTTAGGATTAACATTATTTTAATATAATATATTTGCTTTTCTTGTGTTACGCTAATTTTTCATTGTCCAATTACACAGTGTTTTTTTTTATTTTGTCATTAAAAACTATTTTTTATAATAAACATAGCTGTGGTTGATGATTCTCAACTAGCATACCAGGATGCATTCGAAATCAGTAAAGCAAAAATGCAACCTACACATCCAATCCGATTGGGTCTGGCGTTAAATTTCTCCGTATTTTTCTACGAGATACTAAACTCACCAGATAAAGCTTGCCAACTAGCGAAACAGGTATTTATTTCACAAAGTTTAACTCTTTTGTTTTTATTATTGGTATTTAGGGGTGGTGGACGATTCACAAAAAGCATATCAGGAGGCGTTTGATATAGCCAAGTCAAAAATGCAACCTACTCATCCTATTAGACTTGGACTGGCGTTGAACTTTTCGGTTTTCTATTATGAAATCATTAACTCCCCAGCTCGTGCTTGCCATTTGGCTAAACAGGTACCCCTACTTTCCCCAAGGAATCCAGAAATTTTTGTTTGAATATTTTCAGTGGCAGTCTGTAATAATAAGTGAATTTACTTTTATGATTGCTTATCAAGTAGCAATTAAAAATCCTAGAAAATAAATTGTATTTTGTAGAATATTCTCATTAATTTTAAATCAATAATATTTGTATATTGTTTTAAAATATCAGACATTTCCACGATCTGCCACTGTTTTAATGAGTTTTGATTTTTTAGCTTCTTTAATATCTAACCCAACATTTTTGAACTTTTGATTACAGTTGTGTAATTAATGAACCGATTTGAATGAACAATGGCAAAAATAATTATCATCCGCTTTTTGTTTGAATAGGTTAAAATAGTTTATAAGTAGTTGTAAAAATTCATGGCAATATAACAAAATCTGTCAACATCTCTAATTATTTAAACAAATGTATGTTTATATTTGAGTAGCATAATATTCTTATAATAATATTATCTGTAAACTAGTTATATTTATCAGAAACTAGTCTATTTTCAATGTTACTGAAATTAGACATGCATTTGTTCTGTCATAATTATTTGCACGAGACTTCAGAAAAATAATGATTTTATTAAAAATGTATTGTCAAATGATTCTCCAAAGTTAAAAAAAAACTTATATTGTAAGGTAACTTATAACAATTAGAGATATTGACTAATTCACCGTTACTGAATAACCCCCAAGTATATATATATATTATACTTATTGTTATATTCTTAATGGAGATTTAAATATCAAACTTAACTAATGCTTTGTACTTGTATATTTTTGAAATAATATACAAATTCATTACAATTCAAATACTTATACTTGAATTTTTGTAGGCTTTTGATGATGCTATTGCTGAGCTGGATACATTAAACGAGGACAGCTACAAGGACTCAACGCTCATCATGCAATTGTTACGTGACAACTTGACTTTATGGACGTCTGATACGCAAGACAACGATGAGCCCCAGGAAGCCACTGGAGACAACTAACTCTTTTACTAAAATATTTAATATAAACAAATTTAAAAAAAAACTATAATAATTTTTAATAAAGCAAAACAAACATTTACACACATCCGCGAGAAACTGCGCCCCCTTCATCTTCCACCTGCCCCACAACTGCGCTCTCACGACACGCTCTTTGTTTTTTCGTTAATCTTTTTTTTTTTTTTTGTATACCTGTTCTTTAAAAACAAAAGTCTTGAATAAGAATAAATAAACACATTTTTTTTTCTTTATTAGTCTATTAATTATTATTGAATGTTTATAACTATCATTATATAGAGTTATTAAATAAAAATATTTATATATATATAAATATATATATAAATACATTTTGGAAGTAAGTTATAGTACACTAGATTATTTAACATGTCGATTGCTGGCAATTATGGAAACTTTTAGATATTATTGTGTCTTAGATCATCAAACCATCTAAGCGACAAGTATCAAATTGAAACTTCTAGAGATCACTATTGCCAGCATTCTTCAAGTTGACCGTCCGTTTATGATGTTTAAATAATTTATATATTTAATTTTGAAACCGGTTTTTTCGGTGTATAACTTCAATATCTGTAAAAAAAAAAAAAAAACAATGTTTACTCTCATAATTCGTTCATAATTGTATATTTATATTTATATATATGTATTTATATTAATTTAATATATATATATATTCATATAGATATAATTTATATTTATTATATAAACCCAAAAAATTGTTGTAATAATAACATTTGTGCTGAGTTTCTAATTATTGCTGTGATTTTTCTATCTTTACAAGTCATGAATAATATAGTGGTTTCTTACTGGTTTTAGCCTGTAGTCGTCTCATCTTTACTGGTTCCCTCGCTCACATCGTTATTTCTTTTTATTTTTTTTTTTTTAAATATATTTACAAATTGTTATTGTACTTAAAATGGAATTATTTATCTTCTAAAAGAAAACATGCTACACTATCTTAACGAACAACTGTACGTGGTGGTATACATTTTCCTCGCTTTTCTGAACTCTTGGTTTTGTCTTATCATTAACTTCTTTCTCAAAGCGCGGCCTGACAATTCACTAAACATTTGATTAATTATGATATATAAGTGTTCCATTTTGAAAATTTTTATACAAATATGTGGTATAAACTTAATTTATTAAAACATTGATACAAGTTTTTCGTTATTAAGTATAAGCAGCCATTGTAAGTAATTGTATAAGATGCACTTTTATTATTTTGCAATTTGTTTGATTTAAAAAAAAATATAATATATATATATATATATATATATATTATGGTCATAGATAGATATTATATAGTTTGTGTGTGTTGCCTTTCCTCTATTTGTGTTTATTTTATCCAAAAATATCTACTTGTCTTATGGATAGTATTATACTATTATTATATTTGATGTATCACATGATTTGATGGGCCAATGGTGGTCAAATTGGATCGTTTCATATACTTGATACAATCTTTTGTTATTTATAGCCATGAGATATTTACGATATTAATTTTCTTTTTGATTATATTTAATACATACAAGTATGCTAGGATGACAACTTCTCCTCAGAATCGTTTTTTTGTATGTGATGATTAATCAATGAATTCAAATATAATACATCCATTACAGTGACATACTCAACGACTATTGTACAACCGAGCGGTACCCACTTACCCACCTTTTTTGGATGGTTTGGTATAGTACAAAATACTATGATTTTTGATTCACTTTGTTTTATATTTTAAATCTTAGGCTATACATTAACTTCAAAATAATTTGAAAATGTTGATGAATTTTGTTCACAATTTAACTTAAAATGTTTATAAAAACAATAACATTTTTATTATTAGGAAAATATTTGGAGAAATCCAGTCATAAAAATATGAATTTCAAATTCAAACGCTCATAATGAATGTGACTCCAGTAAATTTTTTTTGTTAGAAACGATGTATTTTGAATAAAAATTTTTATATTTATGACCGACTAAAATGATATATCCACAATAATTATAGAAAAAATGTTCATACCCATAAATAACTAAAATAAAAAAGAACTTTTTTTGAAAACTATCAAATATAGGTACATGCAGTTTTCCGCCGAATGTTCATGTTAGCATTTTTTAAACACCGTACAATTTTCAAAATATATCGACTGAGTAATTTATAGATATGCATAAGAAAATGTCGAGTTTTGTTAGTTTTTTTAAAAATTATTGTAGATAAAATATTTTTGCTCAGTCAAAAAACTTGAAAATTGAATACAAGCTAGGTTGTGATTAATGCAAATTGAAAAAACTTAATCGTAATTCGTAAATTCGCAATATGACTTTAAGATACTACTTAACTCTAAGATTAGAACTTTGATAAGATTCGTCAAAATCACGGAAATTTGCAAATTATTTTGTAGTTAAAATTTATGAAATGTTTTTATAGCTAAGGATTGTAAATTTAATACTAGTTTTATCATATGTAGTTCATACTGTCACCAAGCAACAAATATAAGAAGTATCTACACATAATTTTAGATTCTGAGCGGAGCGATGAATGTATTGATTTTACAATGATGTATGTTTTTATTTTTGTCTGTCGAAATAATGCTTCGATTTTCTACTTCAGTATCTTGTTTGATGAGAAAGTGAATCTAGTTGGAGGATTTGGGAGGTAACAATTTAAAATTAGTAATTTTTAGGCATAATCGAATTTGGGTTTTTGGTGTAACATTAATTCTAAAACAAATGACCGTATTATGCACATGAAATGTGCACTGATTGTTCATGTTATCATTTTCTATACTTTTCAATATTTAAAAAAATGTTTTGACTCTTTTTCATCTGTTTACGGACATTTTCAGTTTCCAATTTGTTTAGTTTTTTTTCTATAGATGTCAATCAAGTCTTATTCGTTGGGTCAAGAAGCTTGAAAATGTAATATAAGGATCCTAATATATTGTTACAAACTTACAAAGGTAGTTGAAGAATATTAAAAATAAATATTCACAATCCTTTTTTTTTTTTTTTATTAATTATCCCGCTGCAACTTAGGCCATGAGAGGGGGGTGGTACTGTAGGTTTTGGAACGGTGGGTGTATTTTTTGGCAGAATTTCGAATGGGGCACCCGTAGGTTTCTGCCATTCCCCGGAGTGGGGGAGCGGCACTTGTTCTCTGGACGCCGTGACTTTGCCCGGTGGTCGAGAATCGAGAAACCGCTACCGGCAGCGCTTCTAACAGCGGTTATTAAAAAACAATAGGTAACCTAGACACTTGAAATTATCAAAATATGTTAATTATAAATTTCTATATACCATACAATTTTGAAAATATTTTGACTCTTTTTGAGCTGATGATGGACAATTTCAAATTTTCATTTTTGTAGTTTTTTTTTTCTATAAATATCAATAAAATTTTATTTGTTGGGCCAAAAAACGTGAAAATTTAATACAGTGCTCCCTGTTATATTGGTACAATGGCAGTTGAAAAATATTAAATATAATTAGGCACAATTTTTTTTTATAAACATTTAGAGTTTAAACTTATAGACGAAATTTATCAAATTGAGTATTTACAAATTATTTAGTAGTTAAAAATTTATAAAATGTACAACTTTTATTGGTAAGGATTGAAAATTTAAAATAAGATTCAGCGTAAGACGGTTATTATGTAACCTAAAAATATAAAACATACTTTTCTTTTTATAGTTATTTTATGTTCGAATTTGGACGAAATTAACGAATCGAAGAACGATTATAGTTCCGTGTTATATTCATGATTAAAAATAGTGAATACTATATACCATACTAGGTATCTTTAATCGTGGTTATATTTTAAAAATATTATTCTTGTGTACCAGCTGAAACTTCTACAGTATATCTATAATTATTTATTATAAACGAATAAATATTAAATAATAATACTACTTCAACTAAAGGAGATTGCAAACGGACAAATTATTATTTCAACCATAATGTAGTACCAATCTTTTGTCAATCATACATTCATACCTATTGTGGGTACCTACTTGGCTACTTGAAACTTTTATAAGTACCTAGGTACCAGTATTATAATTATTATTATGCAACTCAATGACTTTTTCAAATTTTTACTTAGATATACCTAGTAGGTACCTACCTACCGGCAACCGTGAACCTAATCACGCCTTGGTCGTTGGTATAATAAGTCATATTGACTTATAACTTATGGTCATAAGTTATTATAGTTAATGACTTATAATCTCAGACCTTTATCATTATATTCATATACCACCCCTACTGGCTGCCTACATTAGTAACATTATACTTCGTGGTCAGGGATAAAGAGAGTGATTAAGACATTAATAGTGACTGAATACATCGACCTAGACTGACATTATCGTCTCTGCTCAGAATCGTTTTTCTTATACAATGATATTATATCATTGAATTCAAGTTTAATACTAGGTATCTATTATACAGTGACCCATTTGTAATCTACAATCTACTGTACAGCAGAGTGACACTCACTTGCCCACCTACTGTATAGCAGAGCGATGTCCACTTGCTGACCTTTTTAAAAAAAAATTTATTGATTTTTGATTATAAGAGTACCGCGGAGTACAATATTATTTGTAACACACATCATAGATTATAATATTTAAATCTTTAAAAGTTAAGAGAAAAAATTTAATTTAATTTAATTTAAAAAAAAAAAAAAAAAAAAGGTGCTCTGCTGTACAGAAGGTTACAAGTGGGTCACTGTATAATGGATGGTATTAAATTAGAATTCAATGATATAATATAATTGAATTAGAAAAACGATTCCGAGCAGAGACGGTAAGTCAGTCTAGGTAAGTATAAGACATATTATAAACTTATCTATGGTGTTTAAAAAATTGACCTATAATAGGTACCTATAATAAATTCCAAATTAATCATATCACAATATACATTAGGTACTTATATCGTGTTATACATCAACAAAAAACCCTGATACTTTCATAGATACATAATAGTGTACTTTAGAAGTT